GAACAAATGGAAAAACAAACAGTGTTATTGAATAGGAAGACTCAACATCATAGAAAGATCAATTCTCCTTGAGTTAATTTATAACTTTAAACACATTTCCAATAAAAAACATCACTAGGAATTTTTTTTTTAACTAGACAGATGATTCTAAAGTTTGTATGGAAAAATAAATATGCAAGAGTAGCCAGGAAATTTTGAAAAAGAAGAAGAAGGGGACCAGTCCTGCTGGCTATTAAAACATATTTTAAACCTACAATAATTTAAAAAGTATGGTACAGACCAATGTTATAGAGTGAAGGGTACAGAAATAAATCCAAATATATATGGACATTTAATACCAGTATTTATTAAAGGTGGTATTTCAATCAATGAGGAAAAGATGAAGTACTTAACATATTGGATCGGGGCAACTTACTAGAAGTCTGGAAACAAAGTTGGATCTATACTTCACACCTTTTATCAGGACAAATTCCAATTATATCAAAGACTTAACGTTTATAAAATGAAAGCATAAAAGTACTAGTGAGAAACCTCAGGAGAATGCTTTTATAACTTTGAAATGGGTAAAACAAAGACTTTCAAATGAAAACATAAACTCCAAAAACCATAAAATTAAACATCAATTCAGTTACATCAAAAGAAATAAGACTGGCCTGGCAGAAACCAGCATAAGCAATGTCAGGAGTCAAAGAGTAAACTGGGACAAGTATTTGCAATTCTTAGCCCACACAAAGGTTGTTTCCTAATATAGAAAGAACTGACAATCAATGAAAATCAAACATCACCAAAGGAAAATAGGTAACAGTTCACAGAAAAAAAATTACAGATCACTTTTAAATATAGGAAAAAATGCCCAAACTTAACAGAGAAACCTAGGGATATACTGAAATACTATTTTTACCTATCAGACTACCAGAAACTTGGTAACACACCATGGTAGCAAGCAGGGACTATCATATATGCTTATGGAGATGTAAACTGTTCAACCTCTAAGGAGGGCAGTTTGACAACATTCATCAAAATCCATTTTTTACTATTTGACTCAGAAATTTCTAGGATATGTGTACAATTACTTCCATATACGCACAAGATGTCGTTATGTACAAACTTAATCACAGCAGCACTATTTATAATAGCACAATATTAGAAGCATCTTAAATGGCCCCCCCAAAATATGGTGGAGTATCATACAGCCTTAAAAATGAATTAGGAGACTCTTCATGTGTCGAGACAGAAAGATCTCCAATATAGCCAATATATAAGTAGAAAATATAAGGTATGAATGAGCGCATATAACAAGCTCCCATTCAGTTAAACGGGAGGAAATGAATGTATATTCACATTTTCTTTTTTACGTATAAAGTGTGACCAAGAGGATACACAAAAGGGGAAAGGGGTGTCTGGGGAACAGAGGCAGGAGGGAGAATATTTCCTGTAGGTCCTTTACACTTTGGACTTTATGAACACATGAATGTATTACCTATTGAAAAAGATTGAATAAAACTATTAATAGATCAACTTAATAAATAAAGGCTAGTTACATTGGCTCATAGGGAAAGGGATGTTGCTGTATTTGTTTCCATTATTTAAAAGAAGAAAAAAGAAAAACACCCTACTCCTTAAAAATATGTCCCAGTCCTCAGAAGTGCCCTGGCCTTGTATTTGGGGACTGAGTAGAGAGGGATTGACGTCTAGGCAGGAGGCCCTCTTTGCAAAGCTGTCAGTCCACGAGTTTGACAGCTACCTACTGTGTGCGCGACCGTGACCCAAGTGCCAGGGGAACTTTCTCTCAAAAAGAAAAGTCCAGTCACCCTGCCCTGCAGGCTGGGCTTCAGAGCAGGCAAGGCTGGGAAATGATTGTTCCCGACCCTGCTTCCCAGGGAGGCTTAGGGACCCCTAGGGAAGAGACAACACTAAAAGCCAAGAGGTAGAGAAATCTTAGGGCAGGGATGGGAGCTAGAAAGGCAGGGGTCTTGGCACAGCAGTGCTGGTAGGAGAAGGGGAGGGAAATCATGAGGGGACCACTGCCCTCAGCCAGCTGTGCCGCTAGCAGAACTTCGGGGATACCACCTTCTTTCTGCAGGCTCCATCCCCTCTCCCTTGCAGGGAAGGGCATTCTCTCTCCTCTCTCATTCTCCACCTGAGCAAGCATGGCCCTGGGCTTCCCTGAGCGCTCCCATCCCCTGAAACCCCACTCAGGAACTCACCTAGAGCCCGGGACAAGACAAATTTGGTCTCTGTGGTATGAGTATTTTTCTTTTTAAAATGAAACTGAAGACGCCCAGAGAAATAAAGTTCCAGTAGCAGCCTTCCTGGCCCCCAGGGGTCTTTCAAGCTGTGCTAATCTTTCCTGCTACAAAAGGAAAGGAACATAAATCACTAACTCTTCCTTGGGACTTGGATTCCCATGGGGAGTTGGAGTTTAGATAAATACAGGCAGTGGAGGGGGACTCCAAGGAAGATGTCAGGCATCATCGACAGGACAGTGGGAAGAAATGCTTTGGCCTGGGGCCTCCCTTCGCCACAGCAGAGGGGCAGCTGCTGCAAAACATGCTTGGCCCTGGTGGCCGCCCTGGGCCTTCAGCAGGAGTGACTTCTCTCTCCAGGGAGCAGAGGGGCAGGGAGCCCAGGGATGGTGTGCACCTGGGCCAGGGCAGGCAGAGAAGAGCAGGAGGTGGGGAGAAACTAGGTGGTCCACCTTCTCTTGCTCTGAGTAGGAGCCCCCCGAGCAGAAGGAAAGGCTGAGCCTGATGGGCCGGAAACACTGAGTCGCAATTTTCAGCACAAGGGCAAGGTTCGGGTTGGCTCAGAATCTTCTGAAATCTATTCCATTCGTACAAATGAGAACGAGTCCTTCCTATGACATAACAAAGGCTTTAAAAGAGAGTGCTTGAGCGATGGCATGCGGGGTCCTTTATATTTTGGGGGTTGGTGACTGGCACTGAAAGTCATCCGCCACTGAGAAGGCAGGAAGGTAGGGGAGTGTAGTACACGGAGGCAGCGGTGCCAGCCTTCAGAGCCAGGAACCTGAGTTCAGGTCACAGTCCCACCAGCGCCCTGCCACCTTACGGAAGTCACTTGCCCTCTTCCAGTCTCCCTGTGCTTGTTTCTGACACCGTCGTGCAGAGTGTGCTCTTCCTCGCTCCCAGGGTTGTTCAGAGTACGAATGTGGTTTGTAGACTACCAGGTGCTTTCCGCAGGTTGTCGTTACTGTTAGCGTGGGTGTTGCCGTGGTGATCATGGTGGGCAAGGGTAGGTCTTGGAAAGGCAACTCTATAGACTGGAGAGCGTGTAAGGGGCCCTAACTCAGCAGGGCCGTGGATCAGCCTCTCAGCCGCTCAAACGTTTGCAGGAAACCCGGCTCCCTCTCCGTTTCCTCATGTGTGTTAGGGTATCAAAGACCGGCTACTTTCACTCACCTCATCACAGTAACCCTTCACGCCAGCACATGGGGTTACAGACCAGCAAGATGACTGCACCAGGACCACAACCCAGTAGTGACTGCAACCCAGGCCACCTGCACCCGAGTCATGCTCCCCTCACTGCTCCCCTACCCCAGCCAGAGCGGAGCCTTGACCACACACGGTGGCCAGGGTAGGGACTCGGGGAGCCCTGGCCCCAAGGGCTCGGGCGCACTCTTCTTTCTGTAGTTCGCAAGCACTTGCTTAGAGCAGCACATTTTATGTGCTTTCTCTTTTCTCAAGAAGTCCCAGCTGTATGAGGAAATGGGGCCACGGGTGCAAGACAGGCTGGCCTTAGAGTGTTTCCTGCCCCACCTTTGCACTCGGGCCTGGATTCCTGACGGTGGCCGGAGTTCAAGTCCAGACGCCAGCAGGCTTGTGAGAAAGGCCCCTCTTGCTCTGTGTGCCGGGGAGTCGGCCTTCTTTGCAAGGCCCCCGCACCCCAGAGTGACTGCTGAGAGAGACCCAGGGTGAGGACCTCCATCTAGATCTTTATAGGGGACAGGTCTGGAATTTGCAGACTTGGTAGGGGAATTCTTATCCAGAACCCTAGATTCTATACGAGATCTTAGGGGAAACCCAAACTGTAAAATAGGCCATATGGAAGCTGCATTGGCTGAGGCCTGAGAACCACCCAGCTCTATGGGGCCTGGTTATTGCAACCTTCCTTCCTGCACCCAGACCCTTCCCCTGCTTGGCCTTCTTGCCCCTAAGAGACTGATCTTGCAAATGCGTCATGCGCGCTTGTGCAGGCTGGGGCTTCAGTTACCCTCAGCCCCTCAGCATGAATTTCAGACCCCCCCTTCCTGGCGTTCTGGGCTCTTCGGGTTTGGTTTCAACATGTCTGCCTTGCCTCACCATTTACTGGGACTCAGTTCTCTGGTCTCTTCACTGCCTTTTGCATGTACTCTGTTGGCCTTCCCCTCCGTCCCACCTTTTCTCTTCATGCTCTGTCCAAACCTTACCACCTAGCCAAGCTTCTCTTGAGAGTCAGTTTCCTGGCAGCCCTCCCTGCCTGCGCCAGCCATCAATGGTCTCCCTCCCCCACTCCCCCCAAAACACAGCAGCTCACATAGTCAGTGTCCTGTAAAGTAGCACCTGGTTCTTATGTGGTTTATCTGCTTCATTGGTGCCAACGTGTGTCAGTCTTGTCCCACCACCTGATCCCCATGATTAACTGATAAAGGGAGGGGCATAAGTTCCTTCTTTCTCTCTTATCAAGATCTGAATAATATGAATTTCAGCATATAGTAAGGCTTCAGTAAATAGCTCCCGACTTCTTTAAACCAAAGCAGTGTTGAGACATTCCTGAGGTTACAGAAGCTCCTCCCTCAGGCTGCAATGAATGGGGGGCACTTTTGGGGGTTGGCCATTGTGGGCAGGAGCCCTGGACTGGGGTTGGTTGTTGGCAGATCAAGCCTCCTTGAAGACTTTCCTTTCTGTAGCAGATTTCCCTGAGATGTGCATACCTCTCCACCTCAAAAAGGTCATATTGGGATGAGTGAAGCATTAACCATGTGGTTCTGGCCCATCTTACAGGGATTTGAAACTGGACAACATCCTTCTGGATGCAGAAGGTCATTGCAAGCTGGCCGACTTCGGAATGTGCAAGGAAGGGATTCTGAATGGTGTGACGACCACCACGTTCTGTGGGACTCCTGACTACATTGCTCCCGAGGTAAGACCACGGACAAAGGGCCGCCTCCACCTGTTGCCAGGGCTGAGGCCTGAGTCCATCCCCATATGCCAGGGTCATCCAGCGGTGCTGGGGAAGGCTCTGGAAAACCAGAATGGATTCCGGGGCGATTTCTGCATAAGGAAGTGGTGGTGATGGGGAGATGATGGTGAACTGAGAGTAGCAGACCATTCCCCAAAGCTGGCCAGGTCCTCCCTGAGCATCCTCTCACCCCAGTCCAGAACTACCAGCGAAACTAGGACCAAGAGACGTTTGTTGACTTGTATGATTACTTTCATTTTTTAATAACCAGAATAAAGGAGAGCCATTGATAAAGGCAGTGATTAGCTTTATCAGCTATAATTGGCCTACAGTGAAACCAAGAAGTAGTTGCCATTTCTAGTGCAGCAGTGATTCCGCATAGCAGGCACACAGGATTGAGCCGGAAGACGAGAGTGCCTTGGCCTCATTTTAATAGAGATCAGAGATGTTCATGGTGAGCCTCGCCAATAGGTTGCCTTTCATGGGAGTTGCTTGGGTGTTTTGTTCATCATAAAGTGTTTGTTTGCCTTCAGCTTCTGCAGGTCAGTCTTGCCTAGACTGAGAGATATCTAGTGTGGTACGATTCAGATTTAAGACACAGTCTGTCATAAATACTTAATAAAAATGGTCCTGAGTGTTCTGACACATGTGAGATGAGAAGGAAGTACCAATCCCCTTTAAGCATTGTCCATGGTGGGTAGGGGTTAGCACGGCCAGATTTCATTTCCTTCCAGTGGGCATTGTTTGAGCACCTGCTAGACACAAAGCCATGTGGGGATGAAGAATTGACTAAGACCCTGGTGGCTCTCCTAAAATGACTTTGTGTCTAAAGAGAGTGACAGATAAGTAAACAATGAATTAAGCAGAATAAATAGGTACACAACACAAGACGGTAACCTCAGGGATCGGGGGGTTTCTTAGAGCACCTGGTGGATGAATTGAGTTGTAGAGAATCAGCAGGATTTCCTTTGGTGGTGTGGAGTGGGGAGCATTCCTAAAAACAGCAGGAAGGACTGGAGTGGGCGTGGGGCAGGCAAGGAGGCTCAGTATTCCTGGGCTCTGAATCCTTTAAGGCAGGGCTATGTTTCTGATCTGGGTACTCCCAAGCTCCGGCACACTAGTCAGTCTCTTAGTAATGGTTTTTTGAATGAATAAAGGAATGAGAACTTGTGATACTCCAACATGAGCAAAGACCAGGGGATGAGAACATTCTTGGCCATTTTTAGAAAGGAAGCTAGTGTGGCTAGAAGAGAGGATTTCTTAGTGCTCTTAATGAACAAGATTAAGAAAAAGGACCAAGGAAAGTGGCCTTTATTCTGTAGGATCTGCGGACCCACTGAAGGTTTCCCAGTAGAAGGAGGGTCATCATCAGACCTGTCCCAGAAAGAAGACAGGCAACAGCAGTGTAGATCAGAAGCCAGAGGGTCAGGGAAGGATGGTTGAGGGTCTTTCCACAGCCCAGACAAGACACGGGGAGGCCTGAGGAGGGTCATAGAGTAAGCATGGTAATAGGTAAATTCTCACTGGAACCTCCATCTTCTAAAAGATCTGAAGAATAGAGATTTCAGTCTGTCTCTACTAGTATGTTCTCTTAGCAGGGACACTAGGAATTTAACCTCCAAGGAGAAATCATTGCAAGCAAGAGCTCTCGATTGAGACTTGCTTTTTCTACCACCTTCCTCGTTCACTCTTTATCATCAGAATGCTTGGTCCTAGGCCCTCTGTGAATTGCCAGAGTCAAAGGGTTGGCAGCCCAGTGTACTAGTCAAGGACCCGGCGCAAGATAAACATGCACTTTATGATGAACAAAACACCCACACAGCTCTCACAAAAGGCAGTGCATTGGTGAAACTCACTACGAATAACTCTGGTCTCTGTTTAGAGTGGACCCTAGACACTCTTCCTTCCCATTCTGCACTTGTGCCAACTCTGCAGCATCGCCACTCCACGCGAAATGAAATCCCTGGTCTTACTGTAGGCAAATTACAGCTGATAAGGGTATCACTACCTTTATCAAAGGGTCATTGGGAAGATTAAATGAAATTATGCCGCTAAAGCATTTAGCACAGTGCCTGGCCCACGGTAAGTGCTGGGTCAGTGGTGGCCCCGTCACGGTCATCGTGGTCGTTGGGTTGTGCAGTGGGGTGGGAAAAGCACAGTCCTGAGAGTTGAGATTCCCGGCCCGACTTAACCACTAATGCCCCCATGTGATCTTGACCAAGTGGCAAAATGTTTTCGACCCTCAGGTTCTTCATCTTTCAAATGGGAAAATAATTCCTGCCCTACCCACCTCATCAAGCTATTTTGAGAATCTAATGAGATTAGAGCATGGAAATGCTTCAGAAAGCATAAGCCTGTATTCAAATAGGAGGGGTTGTGAGACACCTGGCTAACCCCGAAACCAGAGACACGTTCTGAGGCATTAGCTCTGCCCTGGGGCTGTTCTTCCCACGGTGTGCCCTTGGCTGACCTCCATGGCACCCCCTCTCCTTTCTCCATGCCCAGCCCCCGCTCCCCGTCAAATGGCGGCCAGCCCTCGGTAGTGCCTGGTGTCATCAGGCCCAGTGCCCACTCTTCTACCCCAGCTCTGACCCATCAAGGGGTTGGCTGCTGCACCAGGTGCCCTCCCATGGCATGTGAAGCCTTGCCCTTCTCACCAGCTCCATCCGTGACAAGGCGATTAGGAAACAGATAATTAGGGCCACGCCTAAGGGGAATTTTAGAAAAGATGCCACCCCAAATAGGAAGGCTCTGGAGGGGCCTGAGGAAGGGTGGGCAGGGCTGCTCTGTGGTTTCCCCAGCGCCATCCTGTCTGAGCACACTCAGGGCCACCTGGAGGCCACCTCCCCACCACACCGAGGAGGCACAGAACCCAGCTGTGCCACTCCCCAAGTCTGGGGGGTGGCTTCCTTAGCACCAAGGCCCTCAGAGCCCAGGAGAGAAGGGGGCATGCCCAGGAAGATACACACGGTGGGCACACCTGGCAGCCAGTCTCCCTGAGTGTTGGAACTGGGCTGGTCACAGGGGTAGGTTCAGAAAAATATAGAGCCCCCACCCTCTGGTGGCTTATGGATGCCCTGGGGAGACAGCTGACCATGAAAAAAGTAGCTCAACTGCTGGTAGTATGTGGAAAGTACCTGCCAGATCTTAGGGCAAGGGTCTTAGGGTGTCAGAGGAGAGGAGAAAAGCTGGAGAAATCCGGGAAAGCCTTCTGGAGGAGATGGGTGATAACCATGGCCTTGAAAGTGGTACCACGGTGAGCCAGGCTGGGCCGCTGGGTCTTTCAAGGTTGAGGGAGTCTTGGGTTTTGGCTTTCCCTTTGCCTTTGGAACAGAGCAGAGTTACTGGCTCCTCAGTGGAGCCTGTAGCTCTGACCTTACAGATACCCTGTGCTGACCACTGGGCTGAGACCAAAGGTCCTAACCGAGCAGCTTTACCAGCCCCAAATAATTTAAACTTGGCTGCATTTGCTCACATTCCTTTTCATTCTAAATTCTGAGGAGTCCTAAAATGTGCATGTTTTTACTGTTTTCAGAATGCTTCTGCCCATCTTTTGATTTAATCCCAAGCAATCTACAACCTCTAGAAGGGCATTTTGAGTAGACCCCAGACAGTCTAGATACTTGGGTTCAGCCTCCTCTTCCATCTTGGATTCTGAGCTGGAGCCTTGTTCTGTAACAAGTTACCTGAGAAGTTACCTGCCTGGGGTGTCCTGCAAGCTGGAATGGCCTTTGCCTACTTGGGGGGGAGTCCTCAAAATACACCCCCCTTGGGTACATGCACTCCAGCCGTGCTTCTCCACAGCCTTCACCTTTTGGAGTTCTTTATAGAATGACAGCTCTGAGAGCGGCCAGAGATGTCCTCCTGCCCACCCGCCTGTCTCTGGGCAGTACCACGCCTGGTCTTGCTCTGACTGAGCATTATTTCTGCTCTGAGCCAAACACACATCAGTGACCTGCTACATTCTATATAAACGTGGAGACCAAACCTTATAGAAGAGAAACTGGATTTAGTACCACCTTCTAATTATATAGAGCTTTGTAGTTTGCAGTAGGTTTTCAAAATCTTCCACCTTAATTAATCTTGTGAGGTTAAGCTGAGAATCTGAGCCTCATCTGATACATGAGGAAGTCAAGTGACTGGCTTGAGATCACCCAGAAATCTAATGCCAGACCTGGAGTGAAACTGGATACAACCTGGTTGATCTTCCATCTCCTTCCGGCACATGGCCAGTGCTGAAGAAAAATTGAGATGGGGCGGTTACTTGCTTTTCAAAAAGTTCTGCAGCTTCTTGACTCAGAGTAGAATTCCTCTTGTGCACTGACATTCTGATTCTGTTTGTAAAACTGCAGTCCTTACACACCGTTCTGCAGGGAGCCCATGGTGTTGAGTATTCAGCATCCTGTCATACGTGCATGTAACCTAAGTGACTTTGACTCCACACACTTGGTCAGAGAGAGAAAAGAGAGGCAGAGAATGTAGATAAGAAAAATGGCCAACGTCAAAGATAAAATGCACCAGACAACCAAGGAGAGGATTTGATTTGAGATCTTGGAATAGGGAGAATGTTTATGGAACACCTCAAATAAAAAGAAGCGGGTCTGGGGCTTCCCTGGTGGCGCAGTGGTTGAGAGTCCGCCTGCCGATGCAGGGGACGTGGGTTCGTGCCCCGGTCTGGGAGGATCCCACATGCACGGAGCGGCTGGGCCCGTGAGCCATGGCCGTTGAGCCTGCGCGTCCGGAGCCTGTGCTCCGCAACGGGAGAGGCCACAGCAGTGAGAAACCCGCGTACCTTAAAAAAAAAAAAAAAAGAAGGGGGTCTGGGGCATTATAGAGGCAAGAAAACAAGGATTCATCAACGAGCTGCAGGAAAGTCATGGGTCTTTTCTCAGAATATGCAAAAGCATAGTGGTCCTTTATGATTGGAACACGAATGGGTGGGGAGATTTATTAACTCTAGTTTCTCTTCCAAGAGCCCAGGCCTCCGTAAATTCAGCATTGTCACCATTTAAAGAGGACTAAGATTCTGCTCACCCTTCCACTCAGTGAGCCGTGCCCTGGGCTGAGCGTGCAATGGGAGACCCAAATTTGCTGCACGCACTCACTCACCCCAATTTTAGTGTCAAAAATGTGCACAGCTTTTTATGTGGCCCTCAGTTCAAGTCAGGAACTTCATCTGGTGCTCAGGCAAAGAAGCAGTCTGTTCCCCCTGGAAGACAGACTGTGGGTATTGGTTTTTGAAAGCTGGCCCCCAACATGGTGCCTCCCAAACTCAATTTTCACTCAACTTGCTGATTTAGAACCTAATTTTATGTAAGGCAGCTCCGCCCTACAAAGGAGCAAGCTGGAAATAGAGACGCGCGTCTTCCCACGTCTGGTGGGGGCTGGTGGCGCAGGTGTAGCCACGGAGGGCAGCTTTCGGTGGACACTGACATTGCCCGTCTCCCAAACAGATCCTGCAGGAGCTGGAGTATGGCCCCTCGGTGGACTGGTGGGCCCTGGGGGTGCTGATGTACGAGATGATGGCTGGTCAGCCCCCCTTCGAGGCCGACAACGAGGATGATCTGTTTGAGTCCATCCTCCATGACGACGTGCTCTACCCCGTCTGGCTCAGCAAGGAGGCCGTCAGCATCCTGAAAGCTGTGAGTCACTGGCCCTCACCCACTTTCTGCTCCCCTGGCTTTCCCACCTCTCTCCCCGCCCACTCCTCCTTTCTCTCTCTCTCTCTTTCTCTCTCTCTCTCTCGCTCTCTCTCTCTCTCTCTCTCTCTCCCCCACCTCTGCTCACTGCTGAACAGAAGGGGCAGAGGGCAGTCACCGCTGGGAGCTCAGGCCCACTGCACCCGCTCCTGCCAGAAATGGGGTCTGGGACAAATTACCGTTCTTGTGGGAAAGGGACACCATGTCTGTGTTTCCCGAGGAAGGCTCCATGCACCTGGGTCCTCCGGTGCTGTAGAGGGGTCAGAGCCAACCCCTGCTCCACTGGGGTTACCCCTGCTGCTTGCACTCTGGGGGCTGGACCCTCCTTCCTCACCTGCCACCCATGGCCTGTCTTCCTCCGGGGCCTACAGTGGGGGAGGGAAGGGAGGCATTTTGCACCTGTGTCCGCGACAGCATCACTGATCAAAAAAGATGCGTAGACTCAAGATCCCTGTGGCCACGCTGGATCCAGATGTAATAGAGAGACTGCCCCCCCACCCCCCGCCAACAAATAGCCCCTCACAGGTGACAATGCTTAGTACGTGCTCAGCATACCCGTTGCTGCATTGTAAGACACTTGTACTGTGGCAAGTAAGTGAAGTTACCTGTCCCCCTTGGAATGCTGGGGGAGCTGAGGTGCACGAAAGGTAAGCAGACAACCTTACCTGGGAACAGTCACCCCGCTGGGCTGAGGCCATGACAGCCCAGGAATCTTGACTTCCGGTCCTGGCTCCTTTCGCCCATCAGAATGCCCCAAAGTTCAGAGTTGACGTGCCTCAGTCACAGAATTTGCCATATCCAAGTACCCGCTCTGCCGAGATTTAGTTTTGTTTTTTCAATCAAGTCCCCAAATCTACCTAATTATATGTATTTTATAAAGAAATGTTATATATCTATCATAAATGGAAAGGGTATCACTTGTCATAATTAATTAACATAAATTGTCCCATGAAAATGGTAAAAATGACCTAAAATCATTTCGCAGGCATCTGGCAGGGGACATGTATCATGTTTTGGAAAATGCCACAGCAGAACATGTTGCTTCTTTCTGCAGTTCATTTTTGCCTTCCTCTTCCCTTCTTTCCCTCACCTCATCTCTTTCCTCCCTTCTGCATCTCGTTCTCTTTCCCTCCCTCCCTCCCTCCCATTCACTGATTCAACGAACGACCATTTGTTGAGTGTTTCCAGTGTGCGGGGCTTTGTGCTAGATGCTGAGTAAGCACTGGTGAGTGTAACAGCCGTCATCCCTGCCTTGTGGAGATTGTGATCCAGCAGGAGAAGGTGGGCGATAAATAAAAAACACATCCATATGTGGTCACAATTGGGATAAGAGCAGTGAAGGAAGCAAACAGAGCATGCTCATTCACTCATTCACTTATTCAACACATATGTATTGGGCATCTAGGATGGGCCAGACACTATACCAGGTGCTGGCTAAGGAAAAACCTGTAGCACCTAAGGCAGCCAGAACACCCCCAGCAGAGCTGGTCACTCTCCCTGGGCACTGAACACCAGCCTGACACATTTCCCTGTGAGCCCCCTGCTGGCACCCAAGGTGGGCCCTTTCATTATGGATGACCTAGAGCAATGGTCTTCAACTAGGGGTGATTGTGTCCCCCATCATCCCCCAGAGACATTTGGCAAGGTCTGGAGATGTTTTTAGTTGTTACAATGTGGAGGGGAGGGGTGCTATTGGCATCTAGGAGGTAAAGCCCAGGGGTGCTGCTAAACATCCTGTACTGCACAGGACAACCCCCAAACAAAGAAGTGTCCAGTCCAAAATGTCATTAGCACAGAGATTCAGAAGAGGCCGTGCCTGTGTCAGCTGGTTGGTGAGGGTGAAGTCTCTGGGAAAAGAGAAGAGCCTCTGGCTCGGGGTCAGCTTCCTGAGAAGCTAAAACCTGTATGTTTATCTGTAGCCCTGATACTTCCCCTCCCAGAAGCGGGAGGACAGGAAGAGCTGAGGGAGCAAGGAGAAGTCTTCTACTCCCTTGGCCTTGGAACACTTCACTTCCTCACATTGTCACCTGATTCTAGGGCCAGGCCAGGTTTTCCATGACTCTGGCCACTGATCTGTGTCTCTGAGGGCTGCTGCCTACACGCAGAACTCTCCAGAAGGCCATTTGCACCAGAGTTATGCAGTGCACAACCTGTGCAACAGTAATGGCAGTCCTGCTGCCTCCCTTCCTCAGCATTGTGCCCTGAGGCCCAGCCTTCAACCCGCTGTTCACTCATCTCAGTGTACTGAGTGCACAGTGGGAGCCAGGCACTGAGCAAGATGCTGGGAAGATAGAACTGATTCCTATATCATAGAGCTCACCAAGGAGAAGAGATGTTTAGACAAATTATAATTTAAATAAATGAGAAGCATGGTGTCTTAGATGTCCACAGAGTGAATCTGGGGAGGCTTCACAGAGGAGGCAGCATTTTGACTATTTCTTAGAGGATAGTTAGGGGCTAGAGAGGGGCCTTGGACCAGGCAAGTAAAGGATGCAGAAGGCGAGCGAGAGAGACTGGCTACAGACTGAGTAGTTTGTGTGTGCCAAACTAAGGGGTATGGACTTTATCCTGTGGGCGATAGGAATCGGGTGTGTAAGCAGCGGTGACCTCTGCCAGCTGTTCGATTAGAAGGATGAAGTGTGTTGGCACCATTCCTAACCCCTCACTCTCTCGTCCATGGCTCCCCTGCCTTTCAGGGGTGCCAGGCAGGAGGCAGGAGGAGGTTCCTACTGCCCAGGAGAACCTCGCTTGCTGACAAAGCCTAAAACGCTATCATTAGAGATTTATCCCTTTGGATTATAATTTGTCCTCTTAGGTTCCTTTGTTTAAATCTAAACTTTCAGCCTTCACCCCATGAAATATAATACTCAGTCTCTGACACACATGCACACACACACCCCTACCTTTATTCTGGGTGGCTATCAGAAATATTTCCACCTACCAGCACTGATTTGTTTCAAGGTTATGTTACTATACGTCTGTTCAGTGAAATTAACATTTGCCATCAGGACTGACTCATTTAACAGGAATAATCATTTCACCTGAGTGTGTGAGGTCACAAGACATCAGCCAAAAAGTCCAAAACACATCAATGTGTTTTTGACAGACAGGCATTGAGAAGAAGTAAGCCTTTCTTTTTCTTGTTTTTTATCTGTTAATCTATGTGGGGGTTTGTGCTAGAGATTACAAAGTCAAATTTTTTTTAAAAAGTAGGAGGGCCTGGGTCCAGGAAAAGGAAAGAGGAGGAGGTGCCTTTGATAACTGACCTTTACATGAATATCTGATCTTCTTTCCTTCCCTCAAAAAGCACTGCTGACCTCTCAGTGTGAGTTTATCAGACCTCAGTCTCCCTGATGAGAAGACTTGAGAATCTGAGGGGGAATCAGAGGGTTAGAGAGTCTGAACTCCTAATCCTGACTTGATACCTTGCTGGCTGTTTGACCTTGGCCAAGTTAATTAACTTCTCTGTGCCCCAACTACCTCACTTATAAAGTAGGGATCATGATAGTACCTCAGAGGGTCACGCTGGATGAAATGAATCAATGCGTGTATATGTAATACTACGTGTAGAACGGTGGCTGGCGCAGAGTAAGTTCTGCGTAAGAATTAAAGAGCACCCTGAGGGGCAGAGCCCCCGAAATTGTAGAAAGTGGGCTTGGGAGGTGATGCTACAGATGCTGCCTTGGCTGAGTTCCGTCTTCCCCTCACAGCCTGTGCCTGCCGGGCCTTTGTCACTGATTCCGTCTCTCTCCTCATCCCCGCAGTTCATGACCAAGAACCCTCACAAGCGCCTGGGCTGTGTGGCGGCACAGGACGGCGAGGATGCCATCAAGCAGCACCCGTTCTTCAAGGAGATCGACTGGCTGCTCCTGGAGCAGAAGAAGATCAAGCCGCCCTTCAAACCTCGAATTGTAAGTAGGCCATGAGCTCGTTCCACGGCGCGGGCGGGCCTGGTTCCCATGCGCAGAGATGGGGGTCTGGGCACATTTTACAGCCAAGATGACAAGGGCAGGAGGTCGCCAAGAGGCCCCCTAAAAGAGAGTCTCCTCGGCCCTGGGAGTTTACTGTCGAAAACACATAACCGATAGCGGTAACCAAGGTGATGATTTATATGGGACACAGAAGAACCTTTTGCAGCTTAATCAAATTTTATTTATCTTGATCAAAAATTATAGATGATACGGGTTTTTCCATGTGTGGTAGCAATATAAGGTTTCCTTATAGATAAGCTTTTTTTAAAATGAGTCAATTTAAAGAAAAATGTTAAGTAACTAATTGTTGCAGTCATTCTGTGGAGCGAGCACAGAGCGTGAAGCTGAGGCTCAGAGATTTGCCATTTGCGGAAGACTGTCCCCCGGGCTGCCCATGGGTGCTGGCTCTATAAGATGCTGTTTCTTTGGGCCACATCTCTGCCCTCTCTGATCCACGCTCCCTTCTGCCTTCGCTCCAGCCTCAGCACACACTCCTTCCAGGTTCTTGTGCTCATGCCAGTCGGAGGAGGGTGCAGTAAAGGGTGTTTGAAGCTCAGAGGTTGGAAAAAGGAATAGGCCTGTCGATTCCGGGCTTAACTCAGAGACCGTGTTGTGGCAGTGACCTTCTGCTGGAAGGGGAGAGGGCCGGCGGTGCTCTCCTTAAAATTAGAGAGAGAGAGTGGGTGTGGGTGTGCATGCGTGTGCATGTGTGTGTTTGTGTGTGAGGGGGGGAGATTCTTATCTCTGTTGGATCCTAGCCCAAGGAGGCAGTCATTTAGACTGAAACTTTGGGTAGCCAGCTGGGTAGCGTCCTGGGAGCGAGGGAGGGTGTGTAACATAGGAAGTTATAGGGCAGAGCCCCAGAGTCGTGGGGCTGGGGTCTCGGGCAGGGAAGAGATTATCCATTCGGCCCTCAGTCACCCCACATTCTGTCAGAGGACCCCTTCTTCCTCACTTCCAAGTACAGAAAAGACCCTCCTGTGCTTAGGGAATCATCAGAGAGGAAATCTACTGTATTCCAAGACATTTTCTGGGGGGCAGTGGTTGAGAGTGCGGTGCTTCTCAGAAATGTTTCATGTTGGGGGTAGCTCGCAGCTGAAGGGTGTGGTCCAGGCCTCAGCCAGATGCGAGTGTGGCGGGTGAACGGTCCCTGGACACTCAGTCCTGTCTCCATTCCTCGTCTGCTTCCTTCTTGGGTGCTCATGATTTTCACTGGCTGGCGCACAGCCTGGAGCCGGCTAAATTCAGCTTTACCTTCTTTCTTTGCTAGCATCACCCACGGTTCTGGGGCCTGTCGCGCCAAAAGCCCGTGCTGTGGGCTCGGGACAGGGCTCACCGCGTGTACCAGCCTGCCTGAAGGCCGCCCCACCCCATCCCGAGGGTCTCTGAAGGTGGCCTTTAAGGACAAGATGAGCTGACAAGGTTCCCCAGACAAAGTGAGGGGAAGCAGGAGACCAGAGGCCAGGCAGAGGAGGAGAAACCAAAGACTCAGATCTGAGGGTGAGATGTTATTTTAGGTTCAATCTAACTTAATCAACCCAAAGAAACTTGAGACGTAGAACTGAGTAAGGAATCCAGGCCCAACAAGCAGGAACCTGGGACGAGAGCAGGGACCAATCGGCCAGTGCTGGTCTGCAAGATGACTTGGACTCCAGTCTAGACACCAGCTCAACAAAAGGACTGGACACTAGCCTTGTGGGGGGGAGGGGGAGGACTTGAGGAGCAGCTTTCTCCCGGGGATGCAGCCTGGAGGGGACAAGTGCCAGGGGACCATCAGCAAAGTGTGTGAAGGGAAGAGGGGCCCTGGATGGGACAGAGGCAGACTTTGCCGAGAGGCCACAGGGAAGCAAGGAATTCGGGAAGCTCTTTGTGATAAAAGGCGCAAGGAAGCTCTAAAGGATGGATTCGCAGAGGAGGGTCTCTCACTGGGGTAGAATAGTGGCAGATCATCACTCAGATCCAGTGCAGGTGATTCCTCTGAGATGGCCAAAGACCCGAGTAGCTCTGGTCTCCAGGAGCTCTTCCCAAAGCCCTAGCAATGCCAGGGGCTCCTCAGTGGGGCTTCCACCCTCCAGTCTGAACTCTGAGCCCAGTGAAAATGCAGACCTGAGCGGAGTGACACTTTGAGCAGTCCCTGGCTTCCCTGGAGTAAGGGGAGGGCAGGAAGGACAAGTGTGAGATGTCTGTGGACCTGCAGGATGGGCAAGGAACCAGACAGAGGAAGGGGGAGGAATGAAGCGTGAACCAGGAGGCCGAGCAGGTGACCCAGTCCGCTACCCTAGAGCTGCCCCTGGCCAGAGGTGCAGGTGCTCCTGCGGTCAGGGGGTGACGGCCCCCCAGGAACCAGCAGTAGAAGCCCATCCTGTGGGTCAGGTGGGACTGCCTCTCTACCTAGAGCACAAGGGCCCTGTGCTTCCCTTCCCAGGGCCTCCCGAGGGTCCCCAGCCTGGGACCAGAGGGCAGGACTCTGCTTGCTTCCTTCGCTGAGGGGCTCAAGTAGGCTTCCAGGGGCCGTCCAGGAGCTCCCACCAAGTTCAGAACTGTCTTAGCATTCCTAAAGACTGAGTTCATCATTGCCTTGGAAATCATCCTCTGTGCATGTTCCTCCTCGCCCCCCACAGACCTCCAGAGTCATCCTCAGCACTGTTGGGGGTCAGGGGAGAGGGCATTTATTTGGTTGGTGTGAATTCAATTTGGAGGAGAGAATTAGAACATCCAGAGGAAGGGTAAGAAGGGAAACTTTGTGTTATGTGTGTGTACAAGAGGTGTTTCTGGTCACATTTGGAGCTGAGTAATGTTGATCCATACTGAGCTCTCGGCTACAGGTCATTCAAGAAGTATTCAGGTTATTTAGATCTCTGATCACAACTATATCCTTGGGACTAGAGACTTCTCTCCAGAGAAACACTGAAATCGGAAAAGAAAAGAATAGTCTTCATCTAGTTAGCAGGTTGGAAAGGTGTCCCGAATCTGTCCCCTCAATGAGAACTCGTTTCTGAAACATGTTCATGGCACCACCCTGAGTCATCTGTGGGCTTGTGTACAGCAGAAACAGATTTTAAGTTGAATTAAAGCCCACTGCAGTGGCGGACATACTGTGTTTCTCATCTCTAAAAGCCCTGTAAGGCCAATGTGAAAAGTCACACAGACGTTTATAAGCCATCACCCCCCTCTAACCATCTCAGGACTCACCACGGGGGTGTGGGACTGCCTGGCTCAGATGCCAGGGGTGAGCATGGCTCTGTGCTCCAAAAGCAGGGTCAGCCTCACCCCCAGACAGAATAGATGGCCACACACAAGAGGTCATTGGAGAGACACTGGGAAGCTGAGGTATGTCTCCACAGAAGTCATCTTCTGTTCACGGGGCAGGGAGTTCCAACACAGGACAGGCTTCCCGTGGGCTTCAGGTATCACATAACTTGAGGATACATCAGATGCCTTCCAAGGAGAGCAGCAGAAGAAAGGTTTTGTCGGAGGGAGGAAAGAAAACTGGTCTGGAGCCTGACATTGGGAACAAGTGGCCAAGATGGTGGGTCGCAAGCAGCCAGGGATGGTGTGAGTTTCTTAGATCTTAGGGACAGACTCCGAGTTAAAGGAAAGCCACTGTGAGAAGGAAGGAGACAAGTCTATGAGCAGGCATCTCCAGCCATGCTTCTTGGTGGTGGCCTGGAGAAGACACTGGGCGTGAGTTTTAGCAGCAAGGAAAGCGATGCACAGACTCCCCTATCTCATGGGGCTGAAGAGCCCCAGGGCGTTCGGTCGAGGTCCTGGGGCTCGTGAGGGAACTCCAGGGCTTGTCTTGCTTCCTACCCATGCCCCGCTGACGTCACACCAGGATACCACTAGTGCCCAGGATCCTTCTGAGTAGCTGCTCTCCACTCCTCAGCTGGCCCTACTGAATCTGAGCACCCTGGGGGGCATCCTGCCTGTCTGATTCAGGAAGGAGTTGGTTTTGTCTGGCTGGGGGGAGACTGGGTGAGGTCATGTCATCCAGTCTAGGAGTTACGAAGAGACAAGACGTAGTGGCCTATTTTCCACAGCTCCTGACCGTCCCCACTCCCCCGCACAGACGGAGCCCCTCCACAGCTGGTGGGCACAGCAGGCCTGCACTCTGCCCAGGTTGGCTCAGCTGGGGGCAGGGGTCCCTGGATCACCCCCACAGGGGCTGAGGATATGGCAGGAGAACAGCTCCCAGGCCTGGTTTCCATCCCCTCTGCAGGAAGCCTCGCCCCTCTAAAGATATCACCCAGGACACTGTCCAGATTCGTAGCTGGAATTTGGCCTCTGGGCAGGTTCCATCCCGTACTTCAGTTGGCTGCTGTCCCCTCCAGGCCTTTGCCTTCTTGAGATGTTTGCTGAGCTGAGACTTCTGCTCCCTGGCGCCTGAGCCTCCGTATCTAACCACTGCCCTGACTCGCCAGCTGTCAGTATTCCACTGGGTTTCCTGCCTACAGCTTTTCATCCCTTTGCACTAACCCCACCCCAGGACATTTTTCAGTGGCTTTTGCTTCTGCGTGGAGATCTCCTTCTCATCTTTCCTCCCAGCTGTCTTATCTTGTATATTCTCCCTCCTCCACTTTCCTTTTTATGCTCCTCCCGTCCACCCTTTATCCACCCACATACGCGACTGACCGTTGCACAAGCAGTGTGCCATCAACACCAAACCAGAGACTTGGTGCCATCGTGCGCTCAAATCAGTTTTCTGGGGGTGGCTTGCTTCAGAGCAAGGGCATACAGCAGTGGACAGGTGGGGGAATAGAAAAGCCAGCGAGGCTGGCTCCATGGCCTTTGATGCTGGAAAAAGTCGCCAAGCATAGAATTCACTGGTCTATCCCGCTGGGGATTTGGTTCCAAAATGGCGGCGTCATTTGCTGCCCTTGAAAGTAGCCCATTTAGCTTTAGTGTTGCCGTGGGGCTTGCCTTCCTTGGGGACTGCAGGGGAGAGAAGTGATGTGTTTGGTGTGGTTGAAGGGCATCATCCAACCTTGTAGATCTTGGAGGTATTTTGCTCACTCCTGGCTTCTCTCCTGCACACACCTCCCCCGCCCCAAACGCATTAGGCTCTGAGATTATGGCTCCTGGGGCTTCGGCGCTGGAATGGGGGGGAAGCCAGCAGAGGAGGGAGAGGTCTGCCTCCCCAGCAGCCTAGCTGTCCTCAGTGAAAGCCAAAGCTAATGAGGGAAATGCCAGCCAAGTAAACTTCTCTTTGTGTACGTGTTCTCTCTTTTCAAGTTTGCTTCAGTGTGAAAGTCCCTCTTTAAGGTAAGGCCTCCAGAGTGGGGAGTCTTTCCAGGTAGGTGAGCCCTCAGGCCGGGTGACACGGAGGCCCCTTTCAACCTCATGATCTGTTCCATCCAGCCATCCACACTGCATGGCGGGACCCCCAAGGGAGGCCTTTCCTGCATGCTCCTGCATGACTGGGCTGTGCTGAGAGAAAAGTGGGAAGTGGGCCTGAGACCCTCACACCCTCACCAACTCAGCGGCCGGAGGAGGAGCCCTGCCGAACAGGCAGCCCCTTCCCCTAAAGCCAGCCCACTGGCCAAGGGACCTCCTGAAAGCGTGAACCATGAAGACAGAGCCCCGGGGACCATGAGAGGCTGTCCTCATCTTCCACCTGGCAGAGCAGGAATGGGGCCCAGTCGGTCCCTGCAGACATGTGAGGACATCCCGCTGGCCTGTGTCCGTGCCAGAGTGAGAGCCCTTAGCCTCCGAGAGGCTGCAGGGTCCCGCCAAGAGCCAGGATGCTGGCCCGGGGCTGGAGGGCATGGGAGAAGTCCAGGAACCTGTTTTTAGTAGTTGGCCCAGGTGATGGCATGGAAAAGTGGACAGGGCACTCGCTTTCACCCCAGAGAGACCTGGGTAGGAATAAAATTGCTGTCCCAGGATAGTCGTGTGAACCTGGGAATTCACTTCCAGCCTCCTGGAGCCGCGACCTCCTTATGTGTAAAATGGGGTTGAGAATACCCGCTCACAGAATTACTACAGGGTTAGCTTACAAACCTCAGATGTTTTGCATACTACAGATTCTCAATAAATTTTAGTTCCTGTCTCTCCATTCATCACCCCCAACCCAGCCTGTTAAAGCCCCTCTCCCTCTTATCCCAAGACTCCAAGAATCAAGAGTTAAGGATTGCAGGAGGTGGTGTGGTATTTGGAGGCTGGGGTGTGGAATCAGATGCAGCCAGGTTCTGATTGTGGCTTTAGGATCTTGGGAAAGTCACCTCATCTCTCTGAGCCTCAGTCTGCTGATCCATAGAATGGGGATGATAAAATCTACCACACTGGATTGCTGTGGGGAGAGGAAAAGCTAATGATGTGAGATGATCAGGAGAGCCCTTCACACACAGTGAGTGCTGGGGATGGCACTGATGCTGTCAGTGATGGAGACAGTGGGGGCTCTAAGCTGAGGGAGGCCGGTCTGGACAATATTTCTGTCCCAAAGGGGTGGAGGGGCCAGGAGTTCAGATGACGGATGACACCCTGTGCTCAGGGGAACAGCCATCCATTACAGGGCAGAAAGGCAGAGACAGGCGGAGAACACAGTTCAGGCTCTGCCCGAGAGCCTCCTGGGCTTAATTCTGGCACAGCCACTGGTCTGAGCTGGGAGAGTACTAGAAAGGAGGCGCTGCAAGACAGTTACTCACCCCAGATGCCGATATTCCCAGTCGTTTGCCCCTTGGAAGACCCCCAAGGTTCCCCAACTTTTTTTCTGTGAACTTGCTCACCAGCTTTACTCTCCTTGCCTTTGGTCTCGGCAGTGTTTTTGCTGAGCAGGGCTGTGTGACTCTGAGTGCCCCAGCCCTGAAATGGTAGCAGTCACAGCTTCCCAAGTATTTCTAAGCTAAGCAGCCTCAGTGGGGCGTCCTTGACTCTACACAAGAGATTACTCCATCAGGGAATTCTGACTGCAGGAGCGTCTCTGTGGCCAAGGGCTGGAGGGCCCACCTGTGCTTTACTTTAGTCCTCCCAGCACCCACCCCAGGGGAGGGATCTGAGCCCTAGGCTGGGCATTTCCATAAGCTCCAAAGTTTTTATTTATGACTTAATAGCTGTGAGGTTGGGATTCGCCTTCATGGATTCACCAAACTAGTGTATATTGAATTGAATCTCCTCCCTGCCCCGTGGACACTTAAGGTAACACACACATCCTACCTGGGAGCGTGGGACCTAGTAGGCTGTGCCTGATCGAAAGTGGGGAGAGCAGGGGCCATCGGAGAAGGTTCTCGAGAGTTGCTGGATCTTGGCAGAGAAAGCCAGGAAGGGTTAGGAAGAGACAGCTACACGGGACAAGGCATGAAAGAGAGAAGGGAAAGGCAGGATTCAGATCAGCTCTTCTTAATGGGTATTTAGTGAGCACGTGCTCTGTGCCTTCTGGGAAGGCCTGGAGGGGGAGGTAAACATAGAAGAAAAGAATCCCCTGCGAACACAATCACGTTCACGTCACCGCGTGACGTGAGGCGCTTAGATGGCAGGAGGAGATAACTGAACACGAAATACTTGAAGAATACCAGGCAATGGGATAAAATTCAGGATTTGACTTTGGGAGGGGAGTCTTGAGGTTTGCCTGTTGAGGTTAGAGGACGGAACGGGAGAGATGGCACGAAGAAGATGGCCTCCCCAGTCAGGCCTCTGTGGGTCACAGGAGCCACTTCCCACCCGAGGTCTCATAGAAGATCTTGTCCAGAAGGGCCACGTAGCTGGATGAGCAGTGCCCTCCTGCCTGTCTCTGCAGAGAAGGCTACAGGGTGGTCCTGCAGCCGGGGGGCGGGGGGGCATAGTGGTCAGAGGCTGGATAATGTGCGTCAAAGTAAAAGCAGATGGAATCTCAAGCTTTTCCCATGGAGGGGCTGCGTCCTCCAGCCCTCAAGCCAGCATTTGCTCTTTGAAGGGTGTAGGCACCAAGGGACATTTTGCCACCTGACAGGGTTCCCCCGTCCACACCAGCCTACAAGTCCAGGACCTTGAAACTCCAGGGCTGCATCTGTCATAGCGGAGGGAAGCTCTTGGAAACCCAGTTTTGCATCTCGGGCGATCAGTGCCCTGTTTACTCCCCATTGTTTGTGCTGGGATAAGGGGTGATAACAGAATTGGACTTGGCCTCAGCTTGACGCTCAAACGTTATTCTAGAGTTCCAGGGTCTAGCAAACACACATTGGGTTTGTGAAGCTTCATTAAGGTTGTTCATCAACCTCAGTCTCTTCAAAGAGAGAAGACCTGGCTCACAGGCCTGCATCTTTTGGAGCCTGCATGCTATTCGGGTCCCTCCTTTCTGAGACCTACTCCACCCCCAAAGGGGTTTTCTTGAGCACAGAGCTTGGATGTCAGTGGAGTATTTCAGGTGTGTGAGCCCAGCTAGGCGTGGAGGAGGGTCCAGAATGATGGGGACAGTGAAATAAGATCATTGCCTGAAGTAGGGAGATGAGCAGATAAGACTGGAGTGGGGACTGTCAGCTGAGATGACTTAGAAAATAAACCAGACCTTGACTGGGAGCTTCAGCCGCTCCTTCCTTCTCCCCGCAAGCAACTGGCACCTCCCCTAGTGTTGGAAACGACAGGATTGATGGTCTTCCTGGGGAGGTGTGGCAGATTCAGGCTACAGGTACCCAGGTACCTAGGATGTGGGTGTTCCACTGAATGATCCAGAATACCCTCACCCCAAAACAGGAGATTTCCGAACTTAGCCCCGACTCTGTATCACAGGCAGTGAGCTAAGAGGAAAACACTGGACGGGGCTGGGTCCAGGTCCCTGCTGTGAGAGCCTGTGAAACCCTGAACAAGGCACTGAATCTCTCTGCTCCTTTCCTGTAAAGTGAGGGACTTGCATTGTCCCTAAGGTTTCTCCCAGCCCCAGGCACTCTGTGTAAACGTGCTCCATGAGGGCAGGGATGTGTGCAGGTTTTGAATCAACTTTTATTATAATAACATTTACAGAGCTGAAAAGTTACCTGTTTAAAGTGTCCATTTTTTTTAATTTATTTTGAGGTACGCGGGCCTCTCACTGTTGTGGCCTCTCCCATTGCGGAGCACAGGCTCCGGACGCGCAGGCTCAGTGGCCATGGCTCACGGGCCCAGCCGCTCCGCGGCATGTGGGATCTTCCCGGACCGGGGCACGAACCCGTGTCCCCTGCATCGGCAGGCGGACTCTTAACCACTGTGCCACCAGGGAAGCCCTAACGTGTCCATTTTGATGCATTTTAACAAACCTATGTAACCACCGGCTCATGTATGTAAAGAACATCTCTAGGGCTTCCCTGGTGGCGCAGTGGTTGAGAATCTGCCTGCTAATGCAGGGGACACGGGTTCGAGCCCTGGTCCGGGAGGATCCCACATGCCGCGGAGCAACTAGGCCCGTAAGCCACAACTACTGAGCCTGCACGTCTGGAGCCTGTGCTCCGCACCAAGAGAGGCCGCCATAGTGAGAGGCCCACGCACCACGATGAAGAGTGGCCCCCACTTGCCACAACTAGAGAAAGCCCTCGCACAGAAACGAAGACCCAACACAGCAAAAATTAATTAATGAATTAATAAACTCCTACCCCCAACATCTTCTTAAAAAAAAAAAAAAAAAATCTCTATAGCCAAGCAGTTCCCAGGTGCCTCTGCCCCCGGCAGCCCCTGATCTGCTTTCTGTCCCTGGAAAGGAGATTTCTGTTTCCTAGAGTTTCACGTATATGGAGTCATGTTGTATGCACTCTTTTGTGTCTGGCTTCTTTCACTCAGCATCACGTGTTTGAGACTTATATTTTTACCTTTTTATTATGGAAAATTTCAAGCATGTACAAAAGTAGCGAGACAAGTGGAATCCCCATGTGCCCATCACCCAACTGCAAAGACTACTAGCAGGCTCTGCTTAATGTGTTAGGGGAGGGATGTGTTTCTGTTTCGTTCACAGCTGCGTCCTCAGCAAAAACTCCTGGCACGTAGTAGTAATTCATTTATCTGTGTGGAATGAATGAATGGATTCTGTAGATCTACAGTGTTTTTCCAGAGAATGTTTCTCTCTCAGTTCCACCTCAAAATTCTCTTCTCCCCTTTTATGGCCCAAGAGCTATGCCAGTATGTGCCTGGGAATTTGGGGTGATAAGATCCTGCATTAGGAGACCTGAAATTGTTGAATGGTAAGAGAAGGTGGGTGACCTCATCGTGATTTGAGAGGCATCTATTAGCGTGTTTACAGTTCCCGTTTCAAAGCCAGTAGGCAGAGCAACAATAAATCCCAGGCCAAGAGAGCTTGATCTCCATCCAGGACATGTTCATAAATACGGGGCGGGGGATTGGAGTGGGGGATTGTTGAGTGCAGGATCAGGGCTTTTGCCAGGACTGATTGGAAAGTTTCTTCTCTGAGTACCCAAAAGCATCCCCAGAGTAGCCTAACTCAACAGCTGTCAAGAATGACACTGATTTGAAAAGTCGATGATAAATGAAAAAGGGCCCCCCGGTTAGAGGCAGAGCGGGGCTGGCTTTGCCACTGTGTGTCTGCCCACTTTCAGCGGGAGCAGCCACGGGGCCTGCTGCTGCACGTCCCACTGCGTGGGGCCAGCTCGCTGCAGAGCCTGGCACAGGGGCTCAGGCCTTGGGCAGGCCACAGCAGGCAGGGTGCTGTCTCCTCCTAAGGCTTTTTATTCCTGCATATCGACATTGTATTTTCTACACATTTTCAGCTCCAGACATCCCTGCTTGGTGCCCTTTTACCCTACTTCCAGGTCTACCCATCAGTGGGTTGTAAAATCAATTTAGTGGGTCAGGTGCAGAAAACATTTTTCATGAAGACTAGGATAGGGTAGAATTGGGTAGAGTAGAGAAGAAGAGAAAAGGAAAGAAAAGAACAAAGTAATGAGACTAGAACATAGACTGCATCACGTATGGTAAGGGTAAAGTGTAGCAAGTTGCATCTTTTCCTGGGGACGGTGGAATGAGGTGATGTCCACTAGGTCATATATAACATGTATTTCTTACTCTTGGTCATAGTGAAGAATTTCGAAGGGCTGTATTCCCCTTCACCCCTAAGAAATGACCCCAAAGGGCCTAGTGGGGATGGCAGCCTCATGCATTTTGAGGGATGCAGGGCGGAAGGCAGTTGTTTGCTTGTTGGCTGATTGGTTGGTTGGTTGGTTGGTCGGTCGGTTGGTTTATTGGTGGAAGCCAGTGGCTGGCCGCCTGGGCTGGGCTCAGCGCTTCAGCCCTTTTGCCTTGACGCCTCTCAGCGGGAGGCAGGATGGCACACACCGGGGGCCCGGCCCGGGGTCAGAACAGGCTGAATCCAACCCTGGCTCCACCCCGGGCGGCCCCACCTTGGGCCAGCTGCTTGCTAGTCTTTGCAGTGGGAGTTGGGGTAGCTGTGAGGTTAAATGCATCAGGCAGGTCTCCATCCCTGAGCTTTATTATGTTGTCCACACGGAGGGACTGAGCTGTGCCGCTGCTGGAAGTACACGGCAGGCCCCCGAGCAGAGCCTCTAGCCTGTGCGGGAGACAGTTACTGAGTAAGTCACTTTTTAGCCCCAGTTACGAGGAGGGCAAAGAAAGAGAGGCACAGGGCGATCAAGGTATGTGAGGGGGACCAGCCTGGGCTGGGGCTAGTTCCCTAGGAAGGGGCATTTCTTTCCCACATAGCAGTTCCAGACCCTTCTTATTAGCAGCAGGATGGAGGCCTTGTGGCCTCAGGAATGGTTTCCGAGCTCCTTTGCAGCATTTGAGAGGGAAACGGGCATTCCTTTCTTCTCATGTCTTGTCTTGGAGGGGGCGGGCTCCCCTGTGTGAGAAGAGCTCTTGCTCTGGGCCGTGACCTGGGGACTCAGCAGGGTCTACTTAGTCCAGGCCCGGCTGTGAGCTGGGTACTGCGAGTGACAGAAGATGCAGGTGGCCCCGAGACGCTACTTGCCTTGCCAGGGAGCCAATATTCTTGGGGCACTTGGAGACACCTCTAGGCCATTTAAAACTACAAACTGAACGTCGTCAAGGGCCAGTGAGTGCCGTACAGACTATGAGGGTGCGTCCTTAACCACACGGCCCAAAGTGAATCTTGGCTGAAATGTATGCTTTATACTTTTTTACCAAGTTTTAACAGCAAATAGTCACAGCCAAAGGTGTGTCCACGTGTGGACCTGGGCAGGCCTGGGAGGGTTTCAGGAGGCAGGTGTCAGCACCGCCCTTCAGAACTGCCCAGAAATGTCTCCTTCCCTAAAAGGAATGAAGAAATGCTGTGTCTGTGAGGCTAAAGCTACGAGACAAATGGTTCCACCTGGTCTTGAAATAGCCTTAGACAGAGAGCCTGCATCTGGGGGACTTTTCCCAACCATTTTCACAGGGACCCTTCAGCCTTCCCATGGAGCACCACACAGGCCCAAGGCAACGCCCCATGCGGGGGGCCTCCATGCTACGAGGGACTTGAGCAAAAGGGGACATTTCTGCTCCTGAGACTGCTTCTCAGGGCTTTCTGCTCTCTGTGGATTCCTCAGAGTTATTGTTCCACAGAGAATTTCAGGCCTTGTTTGAGGGGAAACTTTGAAATCTGTGATTCCTAACTTAGCAGTGAAGTTGCCACCCCTTCCAGAATCTGCTGCAGTGAACCCTCTCCAGGAAAACCCAAAAGTGCCCATACACACAACACACTGGATTGTATTTCACGAGGTTCCCGGAAGCCCTGAAGTCCCTCGTCTAGTACAGGGGTTGGCAAACTCTGACCCACTGGCCAAGTCCAACCCACTGCCTCTTTTTGTGCAGCCCTCAGACTAAGAATGGGCTTTACGTTTTTCTTCAGTGGTTGAGGAAGAATGGTGACACTTGACCATTATAAGAAGTTCGAATATCTGTGTCCATAAATAAAGTGTTACTGGGACGCAGCCACTCGCAGTCACTGACACTTTGTCTAGGGCTGCTTCGTGCCACACAGCAGAGGGGAGTGGTTGTGACAGAGACCCCATGGCGCACCAAGCCTAAGATATTTACTAGCTGGCCTTTCACAGAAAACGTGCCATCCATCCTCTAAGCGTGGGAACCCAGGTCAGGAAGTCTTGTTTGAAATATTTTAGTTTTACTTAAAATGATTGAGCCATGGAATACACAGGTAGAAGCAGCTTTGAAAATCACCTCAACAAGCTCCCCACTTTATCAGGGACCACATTCCCTGCTTCTGTGGGAGCAGGGGATACAGGGAGTTGTATCTTGGGTTCCCCTTTCAGGCTTCTGTAGGTTTCTAAGCTGGCCCTGCCTTCCAAACGAACCTTCAGGTAGAAGCCCCAAAATTTTGTTTAAAAAGCACCATAACGGATGTTCCAAGTTTGGTAACAGCTTCTTTATAAAAGGGATACCTGCCCTCCCCTGTAAAGGAGATCCCAGAGGGCTGAGTCTACAGACTCCTATAAACCACTGACTTACAGACAAATTGTAGTTGGCTGAACTCCTTTGATCCCTGAAGTATTTCTAGGTATGAGGGAGGAGGTTAGTGGTAGCTAATAGGAGTTTCCAAAGCGACTCTTCAAATGGAATTTGTAAAACTGTGGATTTTTTAATAATCTGGGAAACAATTACGAGGGAAAAGGAGAGACGGGGAATAGTTGAATTCCATCAAGCAGTGGATTTGACAGAATTCAGCTGTAGGTGGTTGTTCAGAATGCCTCTTGGCCTGAGGGACTTAGTCCATTACAAAAATACATTTACGGGCTTCCCTGGTGGCGCAGTGGTTGAGAGTCCACCTACCGATGCAGGGGACACGGGTTCGTGCCCCGGTCCGGGAAGGTCCCACGTGCTGCGGAGCGGCTGGGCCCGTGAGCCATGGCCGCTGAGCTTGCGCGTCCGGAGCCTGTGCTCCGCAACGGGAGAGGCTACAACAGTGAGAGGCCCGCGTACCGCAAAAAAAAATATATATATATATATATATATACATTTACATATGCAGACTGCCTCAGGAGTGAAGTGGCTTTCCCTCAGACATGGTTTAGATGAGGTGGTGGACCAGATTATGGGGGAGGGGGCATTCGACCTGAGGCTTGGGTGGCTCCCCATCTCTGTATGCTAGTAGCAGAG